TTTCCTTCTACATTTTACCACTATTGTATATTTCTCCATTCTATCTTACCAGGAAGGGTATTATCATTAAGGCATTAAGTTTTAATTTGGGATTCACTACATCAAAATACTGAAAACAAAAATATTAATCCAAAGTTTACAAAGAGAAATTCCTGTATTTTCATGAAAGGCTTGGATGTCCAGTAATAAAACCTATTTTATTTTAAAATTGTACAAAATTGATGCAAAATACTTTCTACATTTGAAAAAAATAGACATATGCTGTTTATTACATTAAAAAAAATACACCAAAAATTAACTACTAATCAAAAAAGTGAAAATTATCATTCTATATTAAGGATTTATCCCTATATAACACAATTGTTTTCAAATAAATATTACTTGTTAGTTTTTGTAATAATTCAGTTTTGATAATAAAATACATATAGTTCAATAAAAACTGAGTTAATCTACAAATATACAATATTGCCACAAAGAATTCTTATTTCATATTTATATATGTAAATATGTAGGTGAAATTTTCAAATCTCACAATTAAACCATTCTAATTCCATTTTGGCTATGTTTTTGTGTCATAAAATATGAAAGAATTAATGCTCCACTTTAATAAAGTAATAAGTAGTAGTTGGGTCCAGTTTTTTATTGGTGGCCTACCAGTGCACCATCTGTGTTTTACAAGAGGTAGCAAGATAAAGCTCTAACAAAATTTTTCAGCAAATTGCACCAAACAGGCATTACCTTAAGGTCAACTAAAGGTTAAAAAAATACAAACATATTTCTAGAAAGCTCAACTGGAATGTAAATAAATGTTAATGCATTATTTATAATCAATTTTATATGTAAACATATAGATAAAGATGCATGTATAAGTGCATTATTTAAAGAAAATTTCACTAAAAAATCTTGATTGGATTAGGAGGTATAATGTACACATTTGTTTTCTACAAAGGGCATATTTCCAAACATACAAATTTCATGAATTCTATCAGGGAACAGACTTGATGCAAGGTCTTTTGGATTAAATTCCTCATAGTGCAGAAAAGGTGAAATAAAATGCTCTATTAAAAATTTAGATATCTAGGGAGAGGGTAGGGTTGGCTATTTTGCCAGTTCCTTCTAGTACATCATGACCGCCAAGTCCAGAGAGGTCTGTCTAGACCAGAAATTGGCACATAATGGCCAGTGAGTGTCAAATCTGGTCCACTGCCTGTTTTTGTAAATAAAGTTTTATCAGAACACAACTGCACTAATTAGAGAATTGTCTATGATGGCTTCTGTGCTCCAACAGCAGAGTTGAATAGTTACAACCGCAAAAATATGGCCTGCAAAGCCTGAAATATTTGCCATCTGGTCCTTTACCAAAAAAAAAAATCTGCTATCCCTGATCTAGTTCAACATTTGTCAATATAAATATAATGTAAACCACATGCATAATTTAACACTGCCTAGTAATCATATTTTAAAAAAACATAAAAAAAACCAAGTGAAATTGATTTTAATAACATATTTCATAACCCTATATATCCAAAATATTTTAATTTGTGGTGCTAGCCAAATTTCAAATGCTCAGTAGCTATGCATGGTTAATGGCTGCCATATTAAACCAGCCAATTCTAAATAAGCAACCAGGGGGACCCATTCCACAGAAAATCAGTTTTCTAAAAACAGGCATTCCCAGGACATTACAATGGGTCTAAACTGTGTCAGTGAAAATAACCCCTTTTATTCTTTTACTCATTTTACAGGCAAGAAATGCAGAAAAAGAATTTAACCAACAACCAACTAATAGAGAAAAAAGGCCTTCCCTTGATAACATACGATGAGGTAACAAAGATTTCTGCTACATAGAGATGATTGTAGTAAGGTTGTTTATTTCCTACTTGGGAGCTAAATTCCTTCCACTTCAATTTAAGCAGTTTCTATCTTGTTTTATCCTCAGCAGAATCTGAGAAAAGCAGTTCCCCATCACTAATATGATATTGTATTCCTTTAAATCCTTTAAGACTCTGGCCCTGTCCTACCCCAAAGATTTTTCTTTGTCTAGCTGCACAGATTCAACTCCTCTAGCACTGCAAATTGGATCCATTTTCAAAATGTTTTATTGTATTTGTTGTTCCCTTTAAAACTTTTTCCTAAATCTATATGCACTCTTCATATCCAAGATGAAAAAGTAAATACTGCATCCTAATAAATTCCAAATATTGCCAAATACAATAAGCTCACCTCACAGATATTACATGCTATTCTTCTGTTTAAACAGTTCACTCTCCTATTTGAAAATATTTCATTTGTGGCTCACTAAAACTCACACAAAGAAATTATGAAACACCAAGTACCCTTACCTAGTGCTAAATTTCACAGGCTTGTTGTCTCTCATTTTTCCCGGCTCTGAAATAAGTGTGATTCAAATCATCTTCTTTAAATCTGATTTTTTCCTTATGAAAAGTAATGAATATTAGCAAAAAAGAGAATGGAGAACTTATAAGCACTCTTGAAATTTTATGCCTATCAAATTTGTAAATAAAAGAAGATTAAGATAAAACCATCTTAACAGTTTAAGTCTAAGAGGATAAAATGAAGATAAGCAGTACATACTTGGAGGAGACGTAACTTAAGAGAAGTACAAAAAACAAATAGCTCTAGTGAACAGTAAGCTCAATAATAAGAGAAGTATAGTATATAGAATAAAGGAGGTGACAGTCCCATCTAACTCAATTCTCCAACTCTATTATAGACGGTAAAAGTTGGAATTTATAGTCATTTAAGGTAAAGGGCAGCAGCTAAGAAATAAAGTTGGAATCAGCCTAAGAGTAGGAAAACAAGACCCTGGCATTTTATTGCTTCCTGAAGTCAAGAAAGAAACAAAATTATATACAGAAAATGAAATCTTTATATACTATTATCACTACCTAAAGGGTAGCTTTAAGGTCCTTCAAGAAACTAAAAGAAACAGCAATCAGTTTACCTTCTGGGAGTTAAACTAGTAAAATAGGCACTTGATGAATGACATTTGCTCCTGCAGATCTTGGCATCTGATATACACGAGTCAAGAGACATATGCAAGTTCTCTACTATTCTAGCATATAATTTCCACTATAAGATACACATTCTATTATGAACAGAAAGCAACAAGGCCACATTAATATGGGAATGCTTGGCCGTCACCTGGGCTCACTGACTGGGCTTTATTTACTCCAACCTTAAAATACGTCACAGACGTGTGGTTCAATTTCCTACCTTAGGAGACTAAGACCTTACCACTTTCAGCTTCAGTTGTGATTGATAAAAGTTTCATCATATTGATATAATTGTCTTTATAAATCATGACATTTCAAATTAAGAACAAGAAAATCTAAAAACAATTTGTCTAAATGAGAAAAGAAAAAGAAAATAAACCTGTGGCCTAATCACAGGTTTTAATATCTGCAGGAAAAAGCATAAACAAAGGTAGGTGGCCTAAACGGAGTCTTAAAAAGAGAAATCCAAAATTTAGAAAATTTTCAATGTATATCAGCTTTGCCCAAAAGAGACAGTACCCTGATGGGCTGAAAGAGATGACTGCATTAGACTCTCAAAGCTGGATGAATGAAAACCCCTGACTCTGATTCCTTGTCCTTCAAGGAACCCTCTGTATAACTCCATCTTCCCCTTCTCCCCACTCCCTTTAGCAAAGCTTCAGGGAGAACGTGCTGAGCAATGAAGTGCAATCATGTGTTTAAATATTCATTTCTTTGGTATTTGGTTAGTGAGAATGATTTCGCAAAATGTGGACAAATTCTGGTCTCACTGATACAACTTAAATGAAGTCTCTAAACCTAAAAAGCTGAAGCTCATACGCTGGTGCTCCCACTCCCATTCCTGCAGTTCTGAGGCACAGCTTGAGCAGCCAATCGCCTTTCTTGAAGATGACTCACCCTTTCGCCTCTAACTCTATAGATACACATGAGATAATAAAGTCTTATTTAAAGTCCTTACTAATGGTATTTTAAGTCTTCAGAATATCATTAAAATAATGGAAAACATTAACAATATATAAATTCAAAAATTAGCTAAAATTTGACTTAGAAATATCACATCTGGAAATATGTCCTGTTAAATAATACTAAATTTTTAAAAGCTTTATTTTCATAGATGTGTTATACCTAAAGTGAAGCATTAAAAAAAATCTATATATTAAGCCATAGGAAAATAATTCATTTCGGTATAGTATGTACACAGTATAGAGCATGATGCAGCCACTGAAAAGAAATAGATAATATTATGAAAATATGTTTACATGAAAAAAATACTACATTATATATATGCATATAAACACCATTTTACAACAACATGATGAGGGGGTAACTTGGAGGTGTAGATGACAAAAAAAAATAGAAGATTTTCTTTAAAGAAATCAGATTAAATTGCTGTGTTATCTTTAGAACTGAAAAATAATTAAACTCATCCAAATTTCTGGGAAGTTGGGTGACTTAGTTTGTGAAAATAAGTGCAAACTGAATCATTGTGTATTAACTGAGGCTTGGAAACCTAAAGAGTTAATGATCCTAAGGATGCTGAGTATATCAAAATAATTGTCCAAACAATTATCCAGTTTTTCTGATGCTTTTCTGGTTTGTTTGTAATAAGTATTTTAAAAAGAGTTCAAATACTCTCAAGTGAAAAAAAACAAAAAAAATCCAGATCACAGAATATAGGGTTTTGTTCCCTTCTTCATTGAAAACCACCTAGAATTCAAGAATTGATATAAAATTGGCTCAATTTTGATAAGCCAGAAACTCTCGTCAGAAAAGAATGCATACTCATTCAGAAATAATAATCACTCAAAAGTTATCTTGATTCACCCAAGATCGCTTGGTAGATAGATCTGGTAGATGCATGCGATCATCTCTGAATTCTTATCTTTCTGCTGATATTTAATGGCCACATATTTATGAAGGCGCATTTCTTCTTACTCGGGGTTGATACTGTTCTTTGTGAGCAGCAGCTTGATTTCAACTTACCTTACATGAAGACTCCACCTGCAGACCAGGACAAGGTATTGGCCCAAGCTGGTAGGAGCTGGAGCACCTCTGTTCTACACTTTTGTGCCTACGTGTCTCTGAGGCAACTGGTAGTACAGATTCAGGCTTTAGAAGCTGTGAATCATCACAACAGTTAAGAATAGTCCTTGCTCTTTCTCCCGTTTCATGTCTTTCCAAAGTGCCTGGAAACCAAGATTAAAAATAAAAATTTGTGCAAAGTATTTACTCCAAAAGAATGAAAAGAATCACTTTTAACAGAAAATCACAATTCTTTAAGTTATCATGCCTTACTATCTCCTTGCAACCAAAGCACAGCCTGGAGCTTTCTCTAAATTATTCAAATCATTGTCTTTACAAAGGCTGACATTATAGGTTGAAAAGCCCGTCTTCCTCTGTGTTTTTTCATCCGCTGAAATCAACAGGGCATTCAATGGTCGTTAACAGTTAAACTCTCTGACTTATTATACCGTATGCAAGTGATCAATAACAAACAACTATGGAATATTTTAGTGCTGTCCCCTAGTGTTCCAATTCACAAACAACAGAGGATCCACAGTGTTTTGCTCGGGTTCCCAAGCTTAAAATGTTTCTATTGGTAACAGAACATTTAAGTGAATAGTGCAAGAACACGGATGCTTCGTATCACTACCTCCCTCGCCCAAGTGCCCTCAGCTTCAGGAATACAGGCCACTCTAGGGGGTGGTGGTAGTATTGTCGGTATTGTTGCTGTTATATATTTTGGCTTTTATTTCCTATGTTATTAGAAGAAAAAAAATACTTTCCCTCTTCTCTGCCATTCTTGCAGTTTCAGAATTTCATGGTGCTGGCAAGTTCAATTTAAAGTTAAAAGCAACAAGTATAAAACAGAGCAAAAGTATCAGAAAACAATTCACAAAAAATGTTTTTATAAAATACAACATCATAACACTCAGTGAAATCTCAATAAATATGACTTAATCATGACCACTGCCTCATATCAGTTATGAGTTCATTTGCATTATTCATACCATGTTAAATAAATACCCTATATCCTAAGAAGTAAAGAAACTAAGGAAAATTAACTTGCCATAGAATCTAAACACAGATTTCATTTCATATTATTCCTTTCCCACCAGTGAAAAAACTAGTTGTACTATTTGCTAGAAAGGAAAAAGATCATTCTTATTAATAGTATTAAGAAAATATCAGTTTAAAGTAACTGCAATAAGAAAATAGATATAATGCTTATATAGCCCTACATCTTTAGATTATGTGGACAGATTTGAAGATTAAGACTGTTCAATTCTTTCCCATTTCTCCTCCTCTCTTCCGTATCTTTCCTTTACAGCAAAGGACTACCATTAGTTGGTGCTTTGGATTCTGAATCACTAACAGCTAAAATATTGAGCAGCAATTTAGTTTCTGGTCTCTTAACAATGATATCTTTTCATTATACCATTTCTACATTCATAAATTAACATCTTTAACATGTAAATTTTATAAAGTTATAAGCTTAGTTATTTCTCTAAGCTTTCCTTTTCCATCAAGATTGCTGTATCTTCACCAAATGAAGCAGGCAGCAACATCAAGAACATCCTTTCTCTTAAGGATGATAATAGGAAGAGACCAAAGACAATGGTTATTATTACAGTTATTACTAAGTCCTGAAAATGACTGCATTCCAGAACTTGTTACCTGCGACATCTCAAATTCACTGTCTTTATGAGGAGTCTCTTTTTGAATATGTTTAAATTAAGGTACAAGGATATATTGTACAATACAGGGAATATAGCCAATATTTTATAATAATTATAAATGGAGTATAACCTTTAAAAATGATGAATCACTACACTGTACACCTGTAACTTATATAATATTGTACAGCAACTATACTTCAATAAAAATATGAGTTTTGAATATGATGTCACCACAGATAATCTCTTCTCAAAGGTTTTCTGTGGCTCCTCAAACTATGATTTGTCTAAAGATTCTGAGAATTCCTGGGAAAGAATTGATTACACTTTAATACATATGATATGTGCCTTACACCAAACATTTTAAATATTCATATGTATTATTCTATACCCAATGTCATACACAAATAACTATTTCTGGTATTTCTTGTATTTTTCAGTGATGAAAACATTTCACCTACAAACTTGGCAGGCTGTCATTCATTTTCATTCATGCTCAGATAACAAATCAGTTTAGTATCTACTATGTGCCACTCACTGTGCCAGATGCTGGCAACATATGGTAAACAAGAATGACTCAAGCCTGCTCCCCTGGAGCTGCTTAAAATCTAATGGTAGTGCAGAGGCAAGAAACATCTGAAAACTAATTTGTTATAATATTTAAAATAACACATAAGTTATTTCTACTCCAAACTAAAAAGGCCCATTCTAACAAATCCTGAACACTGGTTTTGTGAACAGTAGTTCTCATCTTGACTAATTATTAAATACTTTAAAAATAATTAGATTATTTTGTTTCAAAGAACTAGTTGAAGCACAAATGTTATATAAGGAGGGGTCACAGTGAGTCAGTCTCTTTCAAATTTACCATAGGCAAATAAATTGCAGGGGTTTTTTTGTCCAAATGGCTGCTAAAATTTTATTTGCTTAATTACAGTGATATTCTTCAAAGCATATCTACTCTCTCTTTTTTTTTTTTAGTTGAGGTATAGTTGCTGTACAATATTATGTAAGTTACAGGTATACAACATAGTGCTTCACAATTTTTACAGGTTATATTCCATTTATAGTTATTATAAAATATTGGCTATACTCCTTTATTGTATAATACATCCTTGTTGCTTATTTTATACATAATAGTGTGTACCTCTTGATTCCCTACCCCTATTTCGCCCCTCTACCTGTCTCTCTCCCCACTGGTTACCACTCATTTGTTCTCTATATCTGTGAGTCTGCTTCTTTTTTTTGCTACATTCACTAGTTTGTTGAATTTTTTTAGATTCCACATATAAGTGATATCACACAGTATTTGTCTTTCTCTGTCTGACTTATTTCACTGAGTATAATACCCTCTAAGTCCGTCCATTTTGCTGCAAATGGCAAAATTCTTTTTATGGCTGAATAGTGTTCAATTTTGTGTATGTGTGTGTGTGTGTATCTATACATACACATACATACATACATCTTCTTTATCTATTCATCTGTTGATGGACACTTAGGTTGCTTCCATATCTTGTAATTAATGTAAATATTGTAAATAATGCTGCTATAAACACTGAGGTAAGTGTATCTTTTCGAATTTGTGGTTTTGGGTTTTTTTTGGATATATACCCAGGAGTAGAATTGCTGGGTCACATAGTAGTTAATTTTTTAGCTTTTTGAAAAGCCTCCATACTGTTTTCCACAGTGGCTGCATCAACTTACTTTCCCACCAATAGTGTACAAGGGTTCCCTTTTCTCTACATCTTCACCAACATTTGTTATTTGTGTTCTTTTTGATGATAGTCATTCTTACAGGTGTGAGGTGACATCTCATTGTGGTTTTGATGTGCATTTTCCTGATGATTAACTGTGTTGAGCATCTTTGCATGTGTCTGTTGGCTATCTGCATGTCCTCTCTGGAAAAATGTCTATTTAGTTCTTCTTCCCATTTTTTAATTGGATTTTTTTTCTTTAATATTGAGTTGTATGAGCTGTTAAGTTGGATATTAGCTCCTTATTGGTCATATCATTTGCAAATATTTTCTCCCACTCAGTAGGTTATTTTTTCATTTTGTCCATGGTTCTCTTTGCTGTGTAAAAGCTTTTAAGTTTAATTAGGTTCCATTCATTTATTTTTGCTATTATTTCCTCTGCTTTAGGAAACATGTCCAAAAAAATTTTTATGATTTGTGTCAGAGACCTTATCATAGCAATCAGAGGTGGAAAAATAAATAAATAAAAGGAATCCAAATTGAAAAGGAAGACGTAAAACTGTCACTGTTTGCAGATGACATGATAGGATACACAGAGAATCTTAAAGATGCAACCAGAAAACTACTAGAGCTAATCAATGAGTTTGGTAAAGTTGCAGGATACAAAATTAATACACAGAAATCTGTTGCATTTCTAGAGCCTAACATCAAATTATCAGAAAGAGAAATTAAGGGAACAATCCCATTTAAGAAGAATAAAATACCTAGGAATAAACCTGCCTAAAGAAGTAAAAGACCTGCATTCAGGAAACTATAAAATACTAAAGAAAGAAACCCACACGTATGGTCAGTTAATCCATGACAAAGGAGACAAGAATATACAATGGAGAAAAGACAGTCTCTTCAATAAGCAGTGCTGGGAAAACTGGACAGCTACATGTAAGAGAATGAAATTAGAACATCTCTACCACCACATACAAAAATAATCTGAAAACAGATTAAAGTACTAAATGTAAGACCAGAAACCGTAAATTGCATTTTGAAAATAGTAAGTTGATTTTCTAACAAGTTCAGGATAACAGCTTTTGTCAAACACCCTCACAGTGGATAGACAGGGACCCCCATGTGTGCCAGTTATCAATGTATTGTCTCTTAGTTACAAATTCACCCTTTACTGCCTGCTCTGAAAATGGCTTGTGAGCCCTTTAAATATTTTTCCTTTAACAGCTGGTGCAATGTTAATCTTTGTGGATAAAAGGTACTGGAAGGATCTAGTAGCAGAAAGGGATTTTGGTCTTGGATCTGGTGTGCTCTATTGCAGCAGTGTGGGTGGCTTCTTCCCCAGCACCAGGCAGGCACTCTGCAGCGCACGTCAGCCAGCAGCACCCAGTGGACAGCAGCTCCCCTTGACACACTCTTTGGATGATTTTGTAACAGAGTTCCCCCAGTATCTCCCTGTCAACAGCTTTCCCTAGCACCTTGGGGGAATATTTCTGGCAATTTCCTCCAGGCCAAACCACAGCAGCTCCTCTACCCTCCAGTGACCACAGCCATAACCTCTCCGGCAAGGTCAGGGTCTTAGCCCTGGGGGTGGGGAGGGCTGTTCCTTGGGCAGCCCATCTCAGCCCCAGGGTAAAGGTCACTCCTTAAATCTACTATTCCTATATTCTTTAGAATTTTCTTTAGTTCTTACTAACCTATCCCTCATACTCAAATTCTTTATGATGGTTACTAATTTTTTTATGTTAAAATATATCTGTTCAAATTACTGTGACATTTTTCTCTTCTGATTAGACCCTGAATATACCAGGACAA